AAATTGTACATAGTTAAGTATTTGGTTTTGGCTTAGCTGTATAGAGAGGGGAGGAAGCCGCTCTAGCAGCTGACCCCTTCCTCAGCACCCTGCCTGACCACCACCACTGTCGTTGGAGGACAGGGCACACACCCCCGGGTGTACCCGGGCTACATATGTAAATACCAAAGACTCCAAGAAGATATTGACCTAACTGTTACAAGAATAAAGACCAAACAGATAAACTGCAATACAATTTTATTTGCTTTTCCATCTTTCAAGTACACTTATATATAATATGATGTGATATAGAGACTGAGTTAAATTATATTGGAATAGGAACTAATCTTGGTTGTATGACACTAAAATGAGAATATTCCATTTCTATAACTGGCCATGATAGCTTAATAGGACTTCCAGGGTCATCTAGTCTAGGCCCCTGCAGGGATTTAGAAGGATTCAAGCCTGAATTTGATACATTTTAAGTCTGTTTATTACATTATAGTGAAAACTGTGCTAAGCTCTCTGGCCTTGGTGAAGCCAGTCACTAACGTAAACAACAAGAAGCACCAGCAGACCACCATCTGGGTGACTGGTCAGCTGTTAGTTTGTGCGGAGATGCTGGATATGTGGGGACCCAGGAGCCCTGGCCTCAGCCCCCCCTCAGGAAGGCTGTCACCTGAAATGAGTAAAACTTCCCACATGTCCATCATCTTAGTGCCCTCCCCACACCTGGCAAAAATAAGTCAGCATCTATGAGGTTGTGTAAAAAGCTGTATGCAAAACAGGTTCTTCTACAAATTGTCAGAGAGGTTAGGCTCAGGAAATGGTGCTGTACTGTATATGAAAATAAAAGCAATTGTAGCTGAACTGTCTGCTGTGTAGTCCTTGATATTATCATTGTTCAAGTGCAAAATGAGTATTAGATGCTAGCAAATCAGAGTTCTCCATTTGTTCTTGCTAGGGATTGTGGGTTTTTTTAGATCCAGATGACTTTCATTTCCATTTTTCAGAATGAAGTCAGTGCAAGGCAGAGAAGAATTGGGTCTGGTTTCTGGAGGAAGCCTATGGCTAGCTTTAAAAATGAGGAAGACATTTCTGAGACGGACCTAAAATGACTGGGGGCTGTCAATGATGCATGTGTAACTGGGAGTGCTGTGGCTCTGCTTCCCAGGACTTGTGAACAAAGGGGCATTCTGGGATTCTGGAGAACTAAGGGTGAGACCATTGTACTGATGTGGCCAGAGACCAATGAAGAGGAGAAAAGAAGAAATGAAAAAATGATTTACAGGCAGAGGGAGCTATTGCATTCAGAGATGGGCCGGGTGCATCCCCCATGAGCGAGAATGTGCATTTCCCAGGATCAAATAGCAGCAGCACATATTTGTGTACCCACACTCTGACACACAGCAAGTGGCCCTGGGCTGGCCCCAGCAGCCTTATCTGGGGTTCTGGGGGCCTCCCAGGGCTGCAGCAGCAGTGATCTAGGCATGCAGAGCCTGGCTGGCAACTGGAGTATGGCTCTGGCTTTGCGTGGTGCACACTGTCACCCTGTCCACTACTCCATATGCTGTCCTGCATTTTTTTTTCTCCGCAGGTTTTTTTGTTTGGTTTTTTTTGTTTGTTTTTGACGCCAGGATTTCCTGATGTCAAAAAAAAGCTGCCACGCTGCAAATTAGCAGTGTGGCATATGCGGTTTGCAGCAGTGCAACCCGCATATGTGTGTGCTCATCTGGATATGCTTGTTGTGGCCAAATTTAGGGAGAGTGGAGGCAATTAGGAGTCCCAAATTAGGCAAATTGATTTAGTAAATTAAAATGGATCTGGAGAACAAAGGCTGCAAAAGAAATGAACGTGAGCCTGTTCCAGCTGCCTCCTTGGTCTGAAAATACAGGTCCTCTTTGTGCTGATAGTGCAGACCTAAAGAAAAGAAAACAAACAGGATGTTCATAGCACACAGCTGAATTAAGATCTTTTTAAATACTGGAGCTTTGTTGTTTGGACTCGGATGAAGTCCAAACATTAAGTTGGAAACTAACTTCCAGAAGTCTCTTTATAGTGTTCTTGAACTGACTCTCAACTCTGCTCAGCTGTTGTGGTTTTATAAACAAAAAATCTGGGCACAGAATCATGCATTAGCCTGTTACTGGCCAGTATTTTCTCAGTCTGCTCATGCTCCCTGGGGGCCTCCCTGTCTGTATCCATCTTTGATGTTTTTGCCTTATGCTTAAGTTATAAGCTAATAGGGCAGGGACAACTTTTTTGGTTCTGTATTTGTACTGTGCCTTGCACAATGGGGGTCTGGTCTATTAGTAGGCCTCTTTTTGTTATGCAATGGTCTAAATAATAAATACTCAGAACACACTTATTATGATCAGAGTACATGTGAAATGCTTTCTGTTTGTATTCTGTGCCACCTAGTGGGTATTCTTGTCCTCTACAGGCTTACTTTTAATGCCCAGCTGTTACAGTTTATAACAGGCCAGTGCCCATACTATACCTCAGGAGGTACAGCCCAAGTGTCAAGAAGGGACACATGCCACCAGTCTAAAGTACAGTTCTCAGTATAGGTTACACCAGCCTATGATCTTGGGGTAGCCCTGTCCCTGCCATGACACTCCCTTTTCCCTTGGTATACTTGCCTGACTTGTGGCGTTACGGTGATAGAATTTAGCCACCTATACCACTCAACATACCCCGTGTGCTGTCTTCTTCAGAGGTTGGTTAAACCAGTTGTTCAGCCCCTGTCTCAGTGAGCCACTATAAAAGGAGCTATACTGGAGCCCAGAAATCAGAACCTGAATGTCTGCTGTCATTATTTTTAATCTTTAAGTATAAAAGTGTCAATTTTAGGGCTCTTGACCGAAATGGGACTTCAATGGTAAATAACAACTTCTGCCAAAGCCATGTCAGAGTCAGCAAACACATTAGATTAACAGAATATTTAACCATAGAGTAAACCATCTAGAAAACTACTTATCAAAAAGTTCAAATACTTCATAAACTTGAGAAATCATAATCTGATGGGTAGATGTCTTGCGAGGGGGTTGGTTAAAAGTTGTTCATTGCAGATAACTGACTCACCACAACATAAGAATTTTGCATTGATTTCTCATTTTATTTTACTTCTATCTCCAGGTGGTGCAGTGACTGGGGTAGCCAAACCCATTCAGCATGCAACCTTAATTCCTAGTGTCAGTGATTTAGTGAAAACAAGATGCATCAAGTTTAGTACACAGCTGAACATGCAAAAAGGATTAGAAATCTCAGGCGAGATGCATCAGAGAGTGGAAAATGACCAAAAAGGGAATCTTCTTTGTAGGGAGGTCAGTAACATGCAAGATTAAGGGCAGCATGAAGAAGGTGCTCTAATATAGTGGTGATAATAGTCCAATAAATACTCCAGTGGACAGAAGGGAATAAGCAATTGGTCCCCTGCTTGCAGTATGTGTTAGTGCTGAAGGGGTGGTATACTCAGCCTTTAGGTGAAAAGACCAGTTTTTCTAAAATGGTTTCCAAAATGCTTCCTATCCAGATTTCGTCAGCCAACGAATGTACCCACACCACAAGACTGAGAGGTATGGTTTAAAACCTGGGAGAAGAGAGATCCTGCATTAAGCACTCCCAATATCCAACAGGAAAGCCCTGTTAATATTTGGGTTTTCCAGTTGGCTAATTTTATTAGCTTTTTTCACAGAATAATTAATTAGTTTTTGGCGCACAGGGTTTCACAAGTGACAGTCAGAAATTCCTTCAGTGCTTAACAGCAAAAGCCTTAGCAATCACTGTATTTTACTACACAATCAGCTCATGCAGGCTTACAACTTAGAACCAGCAACAAAAAATGCCTCTGTATGCCTGGTTGCCTCATCCCTTGTGGAGACAAGCTGAGGTGTGACCATTTTTTTTGGTCTCTTAAATGTTGCTGTTTTCACATGTTCATTATTTGGTGTGAGAGAGTAATTTTGGATGATGAAACAGATGTAATACCTTTCCAAAATGGCAGATACAGAGACAAGGAAATATTATTTCAGTATCCAACAGATACTGGTACTGAATATTGGTACTGAATATCATTACTAACTTCTCTTTAATAATCCTATATTGAAGATGGCAAATCCTGTATCAGATAGATGTGGAAGGACTCATTGAAGGTATTGAAGTCTCATGCATATTTGCTTCTCCCAGTTTGTATGTTCTTGCTGTTGGTAGATATACTTAATGCAGAACAAGGTCGGTCTCCAGATCTGTTGTACTGACATTCTTCTGCTGCCTAGCAGAGGGACAGCAATTTGTTGCTCAATACTCCTACGTATTTTGTACTTTATGTATTAAGCAAATTTCTGTATTCTTCTTCTACCTTAATGAGTTATCAATACAGAGTTCAGGTTACCTGGAAGATGTACCTTAACAAAACTCAGCACAACGTATTCATAATTAAAATTTCTGTGTCAGGCTTTCCATGTGCTAATAAACACACTTTTGTGGTTAACAGTGTTAAACTTCACCATGATGTATTTCGGTGAAGTCTACTGCAAAGGTAATTTTTTTTAAGTATGTTTAATTATTTTTATGTCTCCATTGTGAAATGTAAATTTGAGACTATATGCAAGAGACTATATGCAAATATCCTTGCAATTTGGTGTTCACACAGTTGCACCATATTTAGCAAGAGAGCTGCTGTTTTCTACATTTGCTCTTCTCATTTAATTTAGCACTTCAACATTTTTTGGGGAATGATTATAGAAAGCAAATCTTATACCTGAATCTAAGAGTTATGTTCATTTGGTCAATGGACAGTTGACTAGGCATTAAATTGGAACCAGTCAACACTGGTTTTAATATTGAATATTTGTAACTATTTGATTATACATAATCTGTAAAGCAGAAATTACTTGCTGAATTAATTCAAATATTAGAATCAAGAATACTACAAACTGCTCATGCACAGCTAGTAGAAGAGCTGAAGTCTTCTGAATAAATTTATTCAACGGAAGTTAGGTTGATCCTCATTTACTTACGATACAACAGGACAACTGGGGTGATCAGGATGATCCAGGCAGAGTAAGAACAATACAGATCTGTAATGAGATTATTTTTGTTCAGCATCCTTTGATTAGGAAATAAAGCAAACCAAACATTGAGCAAACATTGAGACTGAGTTTGCATGCCTAAACTTTCTTCTTATGGTACTTGTTTTGCAATGTAGCTCCAAAAAGCTAGAATAAGCACAGCTATGAGCTACAGACATCAGTATGGGATATTAATTTATAACCATTATCTAGATTGTGCAGTCCTTTTTCCATCCAAAGCTCTAAATGGAAGGCCATCTTCTGTGCCTGGTACTGAATGAGTACAATGCTGCACTTTAAAAAAGCAAAACAGAACAAAAACCCTGCAGGCAGGGTTTTGAAACCTTAGTATTACCAAACCTAGGGATGTGGCTGAAGAATATCATCATTCTTAACACATGGCATGGCCTAGCAGGTTAGTGGCACCTGAGTTCAGGTTAACCTACTTCTACCCATTCTCTATCTGAAACTCTAGCAAATGCACTATATTTATTAAAAGTTCCACTTACTTATAATTGTCAATGCAAGTGATGTCATAACCCATCTCTTTCAGTCGGGCTTCTAATATTTTTACACTGCCTTTTCCACAAGAATCCCTGTAAAAGAGATGTCTGGATTAAAATAAAGCCATAGTGTTAGAAGTGACCTCTAGTATAACCCCTTGCAACAGATGCAAAATGTGCAGCTACTAAACCAACCCAGGCAGCTACCTACCCAACCTCCTCTTGAAAACCCTCAATGAAGGAGATTTCACAGCTTCCCTAGGCACCTTTCTCCGCTGCCAGTTACAAAGTTTGTCCTGAGAAATTAACTTACTTTCCTGCAGTTGAAACAGACTACCTCATATCCTTCTACCTGTCACAATGGAGATCAATGTCATAAAATGAGAAAATGGTCTTTCAAATATTTGAAAATAACTGTCATGTATTTTTCAGTCTACCTTTTATCCCACTCTCTTTCCCAAATTAAAATACCTAACTGCTTCATCAGTGTTTTGTGCATTATGGTTTCCTCACATTTCTCAGACTGAATCTTGTTCCCACAAAGGAATCGACCATGCTGAGGTCCTTGTTACACTTTGTGCCTTCAGCTGCACAAAGGTTGATCAGTGTTAGTGCTAGCTTGGAGTTTGGAGCAGTCACACCCTCAGTTTAGAAACTTTCTCTGACTGTCCCTTGTCCTCGGTCTGCACAGCTGTGGTTTGCCTCTAGAGGCCTGGTGAGCAAGACCACCAGGAGCTGTGAGCTGTGAGTTGCCATTAGAGGTCTGGTGAGCCAAGACAGGCTTCAATCCCTGCTCCATGGGTGGGGGTGTGAGAGATCCTGGGATACTGGAGGACTTCTAACTTTGGTGGCACATTTGTGAGGAGTGGACACACCTTAATGGAACAGGAGCTAGATAGTGCATATCAACAATAATCCTGCCCTGGAGTGATATAACTCTGAGCCGTGTAACGAGAGCTTAAAACCACTTTAAGGTGTTAATGTATGGACAATGCAGGGGTTAAGAGCTCCAGAAGCCAGGCAAAATTACCATGTAAGAAGGCCTTAATATCTTGAAGTGCAGGATTATAAGCTCTTTTGATACCTCCAATAAATAATACTAGGTCTATATCATCAGCATAGACTAGAGTGAGAATCAGCCCCTCTGAGTGAAGTAACAATATCACTTTTGTGTACCATTATTAATTCATTAGCGTGGTTTGACTTAAATGAATATCAATACTAACCTCCTCAAAGATATTAGAAATCGAAGCATCTGGGTTAATTTCCATGTTCCTAACCTTATTTTATCTTTCACCCCTTGATGATTTTTCTCACCTCTGTCACAATGACTATTACTCAACTTTCCATTTTCTCTCCCTTGTGCTTGTCATCACTTCTGCATACTGATGTTTTTTACTTCTACCTCTGATCTGTCCATCGTATAGCATGCATTCTAACCCCCTTTATTAACTTTGCCACCTACCTCTATATCCCTTCTAGTTTTCATCCTTAAAAAGAATTATGCCAAAATTATGCCATGTAATAAATATAGATGGATGCTTGATTTCTGAGGTCTTTAAAAACAGACTATGAATTTCATAAGAACACAGATTTTCAAACCTGCTTAGTACTGTTGTAGTGGAAGACAAGTGTCAGAATCAAAGGTGTTAATGGCTATAGGTACACTGAGCTTGTACAGACACATCAAGCCTAGCGTTAAACTAGCTTGACTGGGTGCAGTGTAGCTAAGGAAGCAGAGAATTTAGTAAGAGCTGCAAAACCTACCAGAGCAGAGTAAATACTTGGGTAGTTAGCTTATACTAAGCTCTGTCTTTGGCCACTCTGCTAGCAGTACCTAAAATAGCTAGCTTAAAGTTATCTATTTACGTGAGGAAGGGATTGTAATTTCCTTTTTTAAGAAAGCACCTAACGTAACATTGAGGTTTAGTGTTTCTGATGTAATCAACCCACTTTTTACTTCTCATCAGTGTCCTCTACTTTTCCTTTCTATATAAAACCCTTTCTTTATGCCAATCCATTCATAGTATCTGAAGAAACAGGTTGTTGTTCATGCCTCTTTGAACCAGTTAGTGTCCACTATGCCACCTTGCCCTACTTTCTGTTATCTAATAATAATCATAGAGAAAAATAAAATGAAATGGGTTCATAAAAGGTGAAAACAAAGTTTCTGGGATTGTCTGAAGACATTTAACTTACAAATCTGGTCCTCCAATATCATCCATAACCCATATTTCAATCTGTGAGATTCTTTCTTTCTGGAGATTAGGAATTTCAAAGTCTGCAAAAAAACTAAGTAAAAAATCCCAAGTAGTTAAAACCAAAGGCGGGGATGGACAGGGAACCCTCCCTCTCTCTCCTCCCTCCAGCATCATACCTAGACTCCTGGCAGCCCTGAGTGAACCTTTAGTATCTGGCCCTCCTTCACCAGAGATAATAGTAATAATAAGAAGAATTACCTTTTTCAGGCCCCTTTTATGTCCTGGCCCCAGACGGCCTCCTGGTTCGCCCATGCCCATGTCTGACCCTGCTTCTCTCCCCCCACCACTTTGGCAGTAACCAGGGTTCTGATCATGGCCCCTACTAATTTCAGTAATTCAGCATCTGAGGCCCCCATTTGTACCAACAGTTTTGTCATCAGACACAAAACAGCAAAACACAAACTAAGATTTTGACCGTTCCCACAGCTTGAGTCTTTGGAGCCAAAGTTTTTCGCTTTTAATTGCTGCTCTTAGCAGCATGGAGCTGGAATAAGCTGCAGTAGTACTGCTGGGTAGGGAGGGCTAAAGTTTAAAATACAACAGTTAAATAACAAACGAATTAGTGTTTAGTTAAAAGAGAACAAATTGCAAGAGCAGCCTCTTTCCAGGCACCGCGTAGGCTCTAGCTTTGTTGTTGTTGGGATGTTTTTGTTGGTGGGGGGGAGAGTTCTCTAAAGTAAGAGTAACAAAAACAAGACAAATGCTAGTCTGTATAAATAAATCATAGGGTTATACATTAATATGGGATGAAAACACATAAAACCATATGGGAGTGGTTTTTCAATTTGTCCCATCTTAGCCTGGAAGGAAGGTCCTTGTCGCAAGGCACTCGGGTGTCCTGCTCCTTTTAAGGGCTGGAACTGCTAGGGGGAGAGCCCGAGCAGTCAGTTGGGAGCCCCAGCTGCTGGTTACCAGGGCAGCCAGAACGAGCTAGTGGACCCACACCTGCCAGCGGTCAGCTGACCAGAAGGGGTGGGGCCTGGCTTGTATATAAACCCCAGGCCAGATGCCAGGAGGGCAGTTCTCTGCCAGCAGCCAAGGGGGAGGAGCTCTCCCAGAGGAAGCAAAGGGGAGAGGTCCGTCTGCAAGTGCAGCTTCTGGTACTGTTAAGGGACAGAGCACGCCCTGTGTGGCTCGAATTATGTTACAGCTGGGTGGTTTGTGTTATGTTGTAGCCCAGGGGCTTATGTTTGGTCAATGTTTTATAACACCAGTGGTTTGGGTGAGGCTATTTGGAGAAGGAGGAGGCCTCATTGGGGGGCCCATTGCAGCGTGGGGACCTCGGTGCCAGAGAGGGCATGGCATTTGGGGTGCAGAGACCCCAGTGCTGAGGGGCGCAGGGACTGGGCTGCAGAGAGCCCAGTGAGGACAAGGGGCCAAATTATAATGAGACCTAGGCAAGATAACACCAGTATCGTCTGCGAGGCTTGGGGCGTGGTAAAGGGATGGTTGGAGCCACGCATATAGCCCATAAAGCTGGGGTGTCCTGTGACATCTATTTTGAAGCAGGACCTACGAGGGGTCCAGGAACCCATGGGGTTCAGAAAGTCCATCAAACCGTGTTCAAGAGGATTTAAAGGCAGCCTCCCTATACTATAAATCCATCAAGACATGGCGGGCAAGAACTGAGGGTGCCCAGCGGGCCAAATTGGCATGGTCAAGGGGCCTTAGGGGTAACACGGCCATCCTTAGTGACCCTGTCCCATGACAGTTCTCCATAGACATGGTTTGTTAGACTCGTGAACACTATCTGTGTCCAAAGGGCAAAATGCCCAGGTGGAATAATTTTGCTGAGGTCACTAGAGATATAGCAAAAGAGAGCTCATCTACTCACATGTAATTAAATGGTAAAATATTAAACCAGGCTTTTTTATAAATGGTAAACCTTATTGCTGCAAGAGAAGGTGACAGTGTCTTAGGCAGTGATTTCTTTATGCCCATTGTATAATTTTGACAGGATCACTTTTACTTGAAAAGAGCACTGGAAATATCTGCATTTGTATTATGTGAAATTTTCTGTAATAAATTTTGAAAACTTTCTGTCATTGAAAAGGTCTCTTTATATTCCTATACCTAAAAGTTTGTGAAGACACTGGATATGTATGAGGCATATCCAAAATTGATTTAATTCAAACTATTATGGCCAAATTAGGATGGGGGAGGGAGGCTGGTTTAAAGGCTGCAAAAATGTTATGTGTGGTTATTTGTATATGTAACTGGATTTTTTTTTTAAATCTATTGCCTAGCCTGACAAAAGAGAGAAGAAATTCTACTGGAATGAGTTTAAGTATTTTGACTCTTTCTTTTTTTGTACTGTGCTGGGTACAAGGCTTGTAGTAAAGGTTGGAACAGACCTCTGTGATCTGATCTCCTCTATAAAGCAGGTCCCAGAATTTCCCACAGTAATTTTTGTGATGGCTATCATTATTCTGTGGTGGGGTATAATAATAGTCACCTATTCTGTGCAGCTAACCTATTTAGCTGCCTGTCTCTTTGTTCCTGACTGATATACTAGGCTGATGCAATTGTCAGTGGAGTATGTGATTGTCTGCCTGCAGCCAATTTTATTTTTTGGACTCCCCTAGGAGTTTGAACCACACTTTCAAAGTGACTTTCATACTCAGGAGCTCAAGAATTATCAACCTCACATAAGTACTTATGAAACTCTTGTCTAATTAAAATATAAGAGTGACTGGGCTGCTATGGACTTCTGAAAATGATTCCTGTCCATAGGTGTGCATGGTGCAGTCACTAAACATTTGACTTTTTTCTGAGATCAGACTGTATATAGTCCTGCATTGTCATTTTATTTCTTTTACCCTTTAACTGGATAGGCTCCTCCTGCTGCAGAACCATTCAGCATGACATGTATTATTCCAGAACTCTGCTTTGCATACTGCAATAGAGAAGAGAAGTTTATTTCTCAGAACATTCCCTAATAGATTTTTTTTTTTTTTTTATCTAAGACTTAGTGCTACAATTAAGTAGTCATGGCCAATGAACATGGCATTTCATCAGTGAAGACACCACTTGCCAAAATGACCATCAAAACTGGCATCATAGCTGGCAGCTGCAGGAAAGAGGATATGAATGGCTGTAAAAACTTGTTTTTTTTCACATTTAAAACTGGTCCCAGCGAGTACTTGGATACTTGGCCCATGCCCAGACATCAGAGAATCTAACAAGTCTGAGGCAAGGTCAAGGGACACTTGCAGATTAGCACAAGAAACTTTGCACTGCAACTCTGTGTTGTACTTGCTCTGTGGTTAGAACAATACCCAGCTGGAATAATTTCACTGGAGTCATTGGAGAAACAGCAAAAGATAGCTCATCTAATCACATGCAATTAAATGGTAAAATATTAAACCAGGCTTATCTATAAACGGTAAGCCTTATTGCTGCAAGAGAAGGTGACAGTGTCTTAGGCAGATAAAACTTCCACCTGTCTGCCAGAGTAGTGCCTTTCTTCACAGCTCAATTTTCTTTGGCCTTATCTTCATGAAGAAAAAACTGTACATTTTAATGCAAATTAACGAACACTTTAAAATGCTAGTAAAGACAAGGCAAATTGCAATTTTTAACATGTTTTAGTTCATCATGGTTAAGCTCCCCTTGTTAGCATCACACTCTTACATCCTACGCTAGATAAGGCCTACAGTTATGTCTACATGACAGGTAACAAGTCAAGTTTCTGAGCTACCCAGAGATATGTTCAAGGAAGGTAAACTCCTGTATAATTTACATTGATTGATGCAATCCGCCAGAAAGATTCTACTGCGTTATTTTCACATTCTTCTGTGGTTGGGCAGGAGTCATCTACTTCTGTGGGAAGATATATAAAATACATAACTGAGGAGATGACAAACAAAGAAAAATCTAAAGTGGCATGAGAAGTTGCTTGGATGTGTTTCTGCTTAATCACAGGCTATAGAGGTTCATATGGCTGGGCGTGTGATAAGATATGCATACACAACATCTGCATCATTTATCTCTGCATGTACTAGCTCTTGCACTTGATCAATGACACATTCTGGCCAAAAAGCATAGACCGTATGTTGGTTAAGGCCAAGATAAAATATGCTGTGACACTGGATAGGATCCCAGGATTTCGGGCAGGACCGGTAAAAGAGGCATAAATCTACCTTTGTAATGCCTCCAAATGAGTTCTTCAGTAAGCTGTTCAGATATAGACAAAGTGTAAAATGTTATACAAGACGGTCCTGATTTCACTGATCAGGAAGCAGACCCATACCTCCACTACAGGCCATCCACCTATCTTTTAAGCCACTTCCATAATTTGTAATCAACTTATATCATTTATGGTCTTACCAGTGTTGTTTGCTTGTCCACACCAGTTCAGCAGATCTCCAAAAGCCCCAATTAGAGTATCACCCAAGGGCATGTATCGACGAGTTCTAGCTGCATAGCTACTGACTAGAAATTGGTTGTTTTCCCAGAATAGAGACTAAGTAAAGAAAACAGAATTAATTAAAAAAATTAACCAAACCAGTACTTGGGTATTTGTATACAATGGCATCACTATTATGTAGATGCAAAAATATGTAAAATCACTTCTTGATATTTCTACGTATGTCAGAATTTCACAAATGGTTTTTAACACTGAGGAAATACTTTATAATTTTGTTATAGAAACAGAATTTGCCCTTTTTACTTGTGTAAATCTCATTTAAATCTGCACTTAGGACAGAGCAATCCATGCACTGGTACAGGCTGGGGACCAACTGGCTAAGCAGCAGCTTTGCAGAAAAAGACCTGGGGGTTACAGTGGACAATAAGCTGAATAGGAACCAAGTGTGTCCCCTTATTGCCAAGGCTGATAAATACTGAACTGTATTAGTAGGTGCATTGTGAGCATATCAAAGGAATTGATTCTTCCCTTCTATTCAGCACTGGTGAGGCCACATCTGGAGTAGTGTATCTGGTTTTGGCCACTCCACTACAGAAAAGATGTGGACAAATTGGAGAGAGTCCAATGGAAGGCAAGGAAAATGGCTAGGGGGCTGAGGCACATGATCTATGAAGTGAGGCTGAGGGAACTGGCCTTATTTAGTTTGCAGAAGAGAAAATTAAGCGGGGATTTGATAGCAGCCTTCAACTACCTAAAAGGTGGTGCCAGAGAGAATGGAGCTAGACTGTTCTCAGTGGTGGCAGATAACAGAACAAGGAGTAATGGTCTCAAGTTGCAGCAATGGAAATGTAGTTTAGATATTAGGAAAAACTCTCTCACTAGGAGGGTGGTGAAGCACTAGAACAGGTTACCCAGAGAATTGGTGGAGTCTCCATCCTCCAAGGTTTTTAAGGCCTGGCTGAAGAAAGCCCTGGCTGGAATGATCTAGTTGGGGACAGTCCTACTTTGAGCAAGGGGTTGGACTAGGTGACCTCTTGAGGTCCCTTCCAACCATAATTTTCTATGATCCTATGAACTGGGCTGGCAGAGAGAATGGGAGACTTTGAAAGGGGAGAAGGGGAAAAAGAGGGATCTACAGAATACTTGTCAGGAAGGAGAGTGGAAGATATGGGTGTGAGGGAAGAAAAAGCCATGGGAAAACTTCAGTGAGATTGGGAGGAGAAAAGAGGGTGAGGGACTTCAAGAAGTCCCTAAAATAGAAGGGATGCCTCAGCATGGTAAGCAGCGATGCTGTGAGGTGCAATGGAGGATTGCAGGGGACCCCTTGAATATGCAGTCAGCTCAACCAAAGGCAGAGGTCCTCAAAACTGTGACTGTGCTAAGAAGGTGCCAGCAGTTCTACATTTC